TGGTCATCGAGCTCGATGTGGACACTATAAAAAGGTTAAGTTGAATGTGTCGCAAGGTGTTCTCTCGAACCTGTTTAGCGTATTGTTCAACAATAAATGTGAATTCGTCTTCATGGAAATATAAGACATCCCCCTGAAAATAAGACCTAGTGCATTTTTTAGAGCAAAAATTAATATAAGACACTGTCTTATTTTCGGGGAAACACGGTATGTAAAACAGTTTAAAAATGTTCGCAGCAGGTGACAATATAGGACTAGTATCCATCTGTAATGTTATTTTATTTTATTAACACTAATTTTACCAGCTCTTTTAACAAAGAAATAATTTATTTTTAATTGTGTTGGGATTCTCACCTGCGGACATTTTTAAACTGTTGCAGTATTTTGCAAATTTTGCGAGAAATCGAGCATATTTTTAGGCCCATCTAAAAATTCTCTAATTATTCTCGGAAGAAGTGGATCTAATTCTTGCACCCAGTGAAAAAGAGTAAGATCTCGTATAATCTAATAATCTTAATCTTTGCTTTCGTTACTTTTTGCCCGAGCAACTTCGGCTCATCTGCTGGTATAAATATAATAATAAAACTATAATATAATTCTTTAAAATTTTTACAAGTAGNTGCGGTATTTTGCATTTTTGCAAGAAATCAAGCATATTTTTAGACCCATCTGAAAATTATCTAATTAGTCTTGGGAGAGGGGGACCTAATTCTTGCACCTGGTGAAAACAAATAAGATCACGCGTATAATCTAATAATCTTAATTTTTGCTATTGTTACTTTTTGACCAAGCAATGCCTGACTCATTTGCTAGTATAAATATAATTTTATGTATGGAGTATCTAATAATATTTACTACATATTATATAAACTGTATTGACAAAATGTAAGCAAGTTTAGTTTCATAACAAATACATAATAATACATTAAAAAAAACTTTCAAAATTGTTTTCTCGCTTTTTTGTTCGCAAATCGGTCAATCACTTTCTTCAGATCAAGTTGACAAGCTATTGTTTTTTCAATTGATATAGTCAGGGGCGGATCTAAGTTTTTCGGAGCCTCGGGCTTATTGAAGTCCAATGGGGACCCATTTTTTGTTAATACAAATAATACTATAAATTATCATTATAATGNATTTTTGCTATTGTTACTTTTTGACCAAGCAATGCCTGACTCATTTGCTAGTATAAATATAATTTTATGTATGGAGTATCTAATAATATTTACTACATATTATATAAACTGTATTGACAAAATGTAAGCAAGTTTAGTTTCATAACAATACCTAATAATACATAAAAAAAAACTTCTAAATTATTTTCTCTCTTTTTTGTTTGCAAATCGGTCAATCACTTTCTTCAGATCAAGTTGACAGGCTATTGTTTTTTTCAATTGATATAGTTGGGCGGATCTAGGTTTTTCAGGGCTTCAGACTTATTTAAATCCAATGGATTCCCATCTTTTGTTAATACAAATAATAATAAATATTATCATTATAATGTTATTCTTAATATTAACTATTTTTACTATACGATAAATGCTCATTGTTAATGAAAAAGTATTAAAAATTTATTATAATAATTCAATTTTTGTGGACCCTTGACATTTGGGGCCCCGAGCTTAAGCCCTATTAGTCTCTATATAGATCCGCCCCTGGATATAGTAACCAGAGTTAAGACGGTGTTGTGACATGCTGCTTCTTAAATAAGTTTTGATTAATTTCAGTTTTGAAAAACTTCATTCTGCTGTCGTTGTCGTCGCCCGTAAAGTTAAAAAAATAAGGCATGCTGCAATAATGTCAGAGAACCTATTTGAGGCGGCGGTGTAAAATTAAAGTAGATATAGAAGAGTTTATAGAAGTAATTTCTTTTCCTTGATTATAAATACACATTTTAAATCGAAGCAGTTGAGGTCCAAAACTAGGCGAAGGGATATTAAATAATTCTAATTTTATTGCCAATATGCATTATATATGTAATCAGCAGCTTAATAACAATATTTTAATAGCATATATTTATAAATTTATATACGTGATAGCTACTTCAGATATAATTATAATGGTTGTAAATTAATATAGTACTATATTATAGTTTTGTTTTTTTCATCGACAACAGCAAAAATTTTAAAAACAGATTTTGTACATATTGTTTCAAATACTGATATAATCCGTATAATAATAGTTTCGATAAATTTATTTCTTATATTACTTAGGAAAAATTTAAAATTTATAACGAATTAAATGTTTTACAACAGAAGTTTATGCGACGATAATTTTGTTGCGTGTCGATTCGAGAAATTTGAAATTTGAAATTTTTTATTACAATAGAGAGAAAGTAAGTCTTTAAAAATGTCATTGCATACGTGCATAAACCGCGTGTGTAATAATGATAATAAATAATAATATTAAAACATTGAAAAGTAAGCGATTTTATGATAATTTCCTGATTAAATAGTTAATTAATAAAACTTTTAATTTTAATAGGCCCTATATTTACTACACGATATGAACAGATACATTTATTTTTTTTACAATATATGAATAATAGTTTGGGTTTTATTAATAAAATTTAATACAAAGGAATTTAAAGAAGGACATTGTCCTTCTTCGTTTATGAATTTGCTTTTTAAAAGACTTATTTCTGTATTTTCTATTTTGAATAGTGTAAATTAGAATCTTGGGTAATTTACTTGTTTGAATTTGAGCTTCAAGAAAAGTTCGATTTTAAGTTCTTGTCAATCGTATTAACTGCAATGTCGTATTTTCATTTAAGCATTGCCGTGTTGCTTCATCGCTTCCCTTCGAAGCAGATTCGTCGAAACACTTTATCGCAAACGGATGTTTCCACACTTTCTGACGTTTCTCCCTTTTCATAAGAAAAGTCGAAACAAAACGCAAAATATTGTGGTACTGTATTGTTATTGAAAGCAATCATATCCAGTGACGTCCGTTTATAGAAAGGCGGCAAAAGCTATAAAAAAAAAATACATCGTACATTATGCAAGAAGCTTCAAATTCTATGATTCAACGTTGAATAATAGAATTTGAAGGTTGTGCTGATCGCACTCGAGGATAAATTGGCCTCGAAAACAAGGAATGTAGTTTTGGTTAACATGCGAAGAACAAATAACTAAAAAATAGTTGCATGGGACAATGGACAAATATCGTTCATTAGTTTCTTTTATATTTACAGAATAAGCTAGAAGTCATGAATTTTCTGTTTGTTGGTAATGAAATTTGCGGTCTCCTTGGAATTAGGTAAAGGGTAACCCAGACGAAAAAATGGCGCTACTAACTATATCCACAAGAAACATTTCTTTATACATTCATTTTTATATTCCAGATTGATATGAAATTTTTCAAATTAATTTATTTATAACTCTTTTGCAATAACAAAATTTTATTAAATTATGAATGAATTAGATAATTGTTAAAATTTAATAACATTTTTATATTATTTATGCACCCATGTAAATAAAAAATATGAAGAGTATATTTTCTCTAGGTCGTTAAAAGTATTAGAAAATTTTGTTTTGTAATTTAGCAATTAATATTTTAGCAATGATCTGATTACTTTATATCGGAAGTGACTAAATATAAAGAAATGTTTTAAGAGTTATTATTATTATTAGAGTGGTACCTCAGGTTACGAACGCCCCAGCATACGAAATTTTCAGGATACGACATGAAATTCGAACATATTTTTGCTCCACGATACGAACAAAAACTCACCATACGACGTTACATTAGTTCGCATTTTTCATTTGTTTTTCTTACTACAGTTATTTTTTTAAATGTATTACTTGGCTTTAATTTGAGTATGTTTTTCGCGTTGGAACGAATTATTTGGTTTTACATGTAATCGTATGGGAAAAGATGATCCACCTTACGACATTTTCATGATACGATCTCAGTTTCGGAACGGATTAATTTCGTATCCTGAGGTACCACTGTATTATGTTTGTTTTGTTTTAATGATTTTTGTAGGTAAATTAGTTTTTTTTTATAAGATTCATTTTACAATACAGTTTTTGTATCAGCATTTTTAAAATTATATTTACGATGTTTGTTTGTTGACAAAACACTTGATCGGTCTGTTGAAACATTTGCGGGTTAAGGGGCTAGTTCTCATAGAAAGTCCTCTCGGGTACCACTTCCCGGCAGATCACCCAATGTTCCTTTGCCTTCTTTCATCAATCCATTTCGTTGCATCCCAGTTGAACCACCGATTTAAATATTTAACATATAGAAAAGTATTTTTACAAGTTATTTTACTTAAAATTTGGGAATGACACTTAAGAGAAAGATTAAGAAAATAAGAATTTTTAACCATTGCAAATCGTAATTTGCAACTCCAGCTTTATTTAGCATTCCTTTCAGCGTTGCATGATTTGGCTGCTTTGAGCCAAAGTTGGCTACCCTTTTTTTCAGTTTGGCGTATAAAATATTATTTGGCGCATTGGCTACTTTTTGGGCTATATATTATTTATAACTATATTAGTCGAATAAAAATTCACTTTAGAATGGTGTTTTGTCATTTTTTTATTAATTAGAGATCCAAATAACAAAAAACACAAATAAAACAAATATTTGTGTTTTTCAAATAAATTTTTGTTTATCTCCTTTATAATAAATGAATTTATCTACTTTTAAGTAAAAATTGAAAGTGTCTGTAGAAGTAATTTTTTTTAAAATATCCTTTTTCGTGATAAAGATTTAATACTTATTAATATTCTCTCTCGTGATTACTAAACCATCAAATGTGTTTCTTCCAATTCTGCTTGGAAACTGACAGTCCGAATTATGAAATTCTCCACAATGTCCTACAAAAATTTACATTATTCAGCGTTTTGCAAAAATTTCGGTGCGCACTATAATCTAGACATGTTAATCCTTAAATATACTTGTATATTTAAGGATTGGGCCACAAATATATATAATATACTTGTGGCCCAAACTCCATGACATCTTCCAATGTGGCCCAGAGAAACAAAAAGATTGGACACCCCTGGTGTAGACAAAAGAGATAGACAAAAGAGTGTATACAAAAGCAATATATAGCTTGGTGCAATAACTTGCATCAGGCTATATCTTGCTTCTGCTATATTTTTCCTAAATATCAATACATGTGACAAGAGTATATTCAATCGATAGTGGGCTATGGCATACCTTTTATCCCCGACTCCCCTTTTTATAGGGCAAAGTCCTATCTCGACCACTATGAAAGATATTTCAATATTTTTAGAGGGATAGGGGGCATTACTCAGTGGTATATCCTCAAAGAGATATAAAGAAGTGAGAAGGGTTAGTTGGAGGGAAAGTCTGTTGTGGCAGAGGCCGAAGGTGGGTGGAAAATGGGAAAGAAGTGAGAAGTGGAAGGGGATGTCAAGAGCCGCACCGGGAACTTTATTTAAAACATAAACAGGTTACATATGGAAATAACATTTACAAAAGAAAACAAAAGAGGTACAGATTTTTATGTCCGTACATAAAAACGCGACTATAAGTTCCTTAACACAAAAGTAGACATTGCCTGGCATAGTGCCATAAAATTTACAACATTGATGTCAAAATGGTGATTACCATGATTAGGTTTACAGGAAATACTGCTTGGCGGATAGAGTTGTAACACACCTACACACAAGTAGCTATACGTTATACACGTGTTAAACACATGTTGAACTAGATGAAGATGTTCTTACTCATTGTCGTGTTGCAGGTCCAGAGCCTTTGTTGACTCGACAAAGTTTATAAGTGCCTTGAAGATCTTCTTATTTCTAACTAAGACGTTGTTGTCTCAAGGCCAGTTGTATCCCTCCTGTAACACTGTCCTGAGTAGATTCGTCCTATGTTGGGTGTATTGGTTGCAGTCGAATATGAGATGCTGTGCGTCTTGTTGCGAAGTCCCATCGCACTGACAATGGGCAACTATGAAAGATAGAGGCACAGTTTAATTTAAAGTCGTAGAGTGCCTTAAAATTAATACAAGAAGTTTTTTGTCCAGTTAAAATACTAAAAGTGGAAGCGGCTGGACACATGGATGGCGCGAAATCATGGAGAGAAGAAGTCTATGATTATTTTATTTAAACTCTGTGCTGTGGGCATTAAGAGGGCTTTTATAATAAGCCCTTTAAATGTTCGGTCAGGTCCATAATGGGACGGCCGAGTGATGAGGGACGGGTTTCGACGTATCCGAAGGACCAGCTCCGAAAAATTTCTTGTATTTTTACACCTGACCGAATTTGACTCGGGTCTTCCATTGCATCCGGCCGTCAAAACTACGATTATCTATACTCTACTACCTATGACTCAATGGCAAGCGACTAAGGTGTCAGCCTACCGCTCTGAGAACCCGAGAACGAATTCGGTAGAGTCCTGTCCCTCACCACTCGGCCGCTCCTTTGTGGGCTTGGCCAAACCCATAATAGGTTTGCTAGAAAGGACCGCTTACTCGTTAGTGCCACAGGTCAGACAGAGTCAAACAAAAAACCTCTACCGATTACTATACTCTCGTACACTTGTATTTAGCTAATAGGTAGCAAAAGCAAGATATAGCTCCGTGTAACGTTTTTGTCTACACCCTGTATACTCCTGCACTTAATATATTTATTTCAGGATAAAATTTCAAAAATGTAATGGAAAAAATGTATGGAAATTTAGAGTTTTTGACTTATGAGAGTGATAGGATTTCGAAAATTAAACAAGATGTACGTGTGATGAGTAATTTAATAACGTATAAATGAATTAGAATGCCACTAAAATATTTTAAGTATAAAAAGAGAAAATTTGTATCAAATAGTTTTAAATTTTCAGTTTATAACAACGTTTATCTTATTTTTGAATCATTTTAATAGTATTGCTGCTAATTTATCAATATTCCAAGTAGTTTTTTAAAAGATTTCTTAATAAGGAAATGATTCATAATTGCTTGTTTGTATTTTCTTGTCAGGATTTCCTTTTGTATCTCGTGTCAGGAAATCGATTTGTCTAGATTTTTGTTTGTCGTGATTTTGATTGCGAGGAATATCATGTTATGTGGACTTTTATTGTTTTGTTATCGACATATTCGATATATTAAAAGTTCAACTTTTCTCTAATAATAGTGGTATTGCCAGTTGATATGATTTCATGTTTTGAAATTCTAGACAATGTAATATGAGTATAACAATAGGTATGCTTAAAAAGGCATTTTATACGCATGAATGAAACTACCGTGGTTTATATTAGGCCTATATCAGATGTTTACAAGTGAATGAAACTACTGTGGTTTATATTAGGCCTATATCAGATGTTTACAAGTGCATACAATAAATTATAAATAGTCATGCTTTATATTTTTTCTGCGATTACTAACAGCAAATGTCCTTAGATTTAAACCAATCTTCAGAAACCGCTTGACCGATCTCGACCAAATTTGATATGGACATCGAATCCGGGTCAATGAATGTCGTAAGCTATTTGGAATCTTGGTAAGATAGTGCCCTTGAGAAAGTTCCCGGAAAAACTTTGCCATAGACTTAAGCTGGAATTTTGAGTGCTTAGAAAGCGCACGCAGTAATTAGGTTTAACTTATAAGTTCTGTTTCGCGCATAAACATAACTCATGTCATTCAAATTTTTTTCGATATTCCTCGAGTTTTAAGCAATTTAACCTGACAATTGATTATATGTAAGCAAAGTAGAGAAACTGATATTCCAATATCCTAAGCGAAACAAGAACCCGAGTATTAATTGCTTTCGATAATATCTAAGGTTTGGCATCCCATAGCAACAGGTTTATGCTGCATATTCGAACACCAAATCGCCTAAGAAACTAACATCCAATAAATTTACGCATGATATGACTTCGAATATTCAATATACCCCTCCCGATGCAATTTGGATACAGAACTTTCGTACAAGTACAGTAGTTAAGATTCGGTTTTTAGATACCATATATTGTAGGATTGCAAGTTATATGTAAATGCATTTTACAATTATGAAAATATTTTTCTGCGCTCTTTCTTAAAAATTAAAATTTGGCTTATTATATTTTTGATTATTATTAAACTGTAATTAAAATATTTTGTGAAGCATTTCAAAGATAAATTGAAGTGTGTAATACAGAGAAACCACTACAGTCGACCCCCCTTATAACACTGTTGATTATTCCGTTTTATATGAATTCATGTTGTACGAGTCACTTAGATTTTACAAATACCTGTGCCGAGTTGTGAACGGCTCACGTATTTGTAAAATCTAAGTGACTCGTACAACATGAAATTCATATAAAACGGAATAATCAACAGTGTTATAGGGGGTCGACTGTATATAGCCTACATATATGACCAAAGCATAAAAGAATTGAATCTTTACCCAGGAGCCATTTTAAACTTTTGAAAATAGTAATTTTATTATTGCGAAAATTAAACATACTTTTTCAATTCTTTCTCAACTTCTGTCGATCGTTTTTCCTGAAAACTCTGTAAATAAAAAATTCTTTATATATATCCGACTTTATAATATTTAATATTAAATAAGAATAAATATAATGCTCTATTCATTCTTAGAATTTATTATTTTTTTGTTAAACTTTCTTATAATAATATTTAACTTTTATAAATACAAAATATTATTCTAACTTATTAGATTTTATATATGCTTTTTTTAAATTATTAATATAATTTGCATTGAATTTATTTGCTAGTCACGAACAGTCATTTTAAATTTAAATAATTTTTAATAATTATGTGTCTTGTGAAAATGATATATACTGTATATTGAATGTAAATGAAAACAGCACTTTATGAGTATAAAATTTTAAAAATCAGTTCATTTCTTTATTAATTTCAATTTGTTTTATTAATTAAAATGACAGACAAAGAGCATTAAATTTATATTATCACCGCTGGATGGCACCACTAAGAAAGTCGTAGCGAATTACACATTTTATTAAAGAGAACTTTTAAAAACTAAAAAATAATAATAAAAACTTTAAATTATTATTAAATCGATAATATAAAATAATAAATAGTCAAAATTAAATGTTTTATGCATTTTTTAATGTTTAAAATTATGATTTTTTTTTAGTTGTTGAATATCAACATCTCCCAGGTGGTGTTGTTCAATATTTACAAACTTTTCGTACTTTTCAAAATTCCTGTGGAAAATATGCTAGGATGCAAAGTAATAAAATATTACTTTTTATTAATTTAAGTTATAAAAAAAATAAATAAATTCTAACGCAATAGACAATAGAAACTATTGAAAACTTTCTACTTTATAATTCAAATTATTCTTTTCAAATATACAATTGATAAAAATTTTAAAAAATAACGATAATGATAATAATGTTTGGATAATTTTGCACAATTCGTGAGACAAGTAGTGATTAACAATTTGGCAATAGAGTTACAGGTAATGTGACACTAGCAAGGCCAACATCACGTGGGTGGATCACGTGCCTTTTGCCTAATACCGGAAATGAATAAGTCACGCGCTATTTTAAAAAAATAAAAATAATAATTTATTTAATAGCTCTTATATAATAATTATTTACTTTTAAACATTTTCGTTAAAAAATTTTTAAATATTATATATAAAATAATATAAAGTATGTACTTAAAAAGTTTATTGTGTACATTACATTTTTTTTACATTTTATTGTGTAAAAATTAAGTTTAACTTCTCGTAAAATTAAGGCAAACATCATATAAAAATAATTAGAGCAAGATTTTTGTTTATTGCGATAAATATAAGGGAAAAAAAAGAAAATCAGGAGGAAAAGGTAGAGATTTATATGTGACGTGTGAGAGCATTACGTGTGAAAGTACTTTAATTATTAGATATTATGAGATAATTTAGATAGAACATGTCAACATTTTCGGTACGTGAGCCTGTACTAATTGCAAATTAAATTATCTTAATTAACTTCAATTTATTTATTATTCAACATAAATGTAACCATCTTCAGAATTATGTAGAAAAACAATTAAAGATTAATTTCATGAAATAATTTTTTTCTCACGTGAAAGCAAAAACGATTTTTGCAAGAATTTCTTAAAGAAGTTTTTAAATTTTATCTCGTAAAAATGTGAATAATTTGTTAAAATTTTAATAGAAATCGATAGAGAAATATTATACAATAATACAAAATATGTAAAAGAAAAACGTAGAGAATAAAATTAGATTAAAGTAAAAATACATAAATAATAATAAATTAAATAGTCAATAAACAAATAATAAGATAGAGAAATAATCATTTCAATAAAATCAAAATTGTTAAAGAAGTTTGGATTGTCAAATAAAAGGAAAAAATTACTAAAATTTCATGCTTTATTACGAAGGAAGGAAAATATAAATAAAAATTAAAAATTAATGACTTAAACAATTACAGTAATGTGATTAATAAATTGTATAACGACTAATGATGATCGTTTATTAATATAATGGTTTTTATTGTGTCATTCGTTAGATTTAATGTTTATTTTTTAAAAAAGAAAAAAAATAAGCCGGAAAGATTTAGCAGGAAATTAATAGAAAATATCAAAATTACATTATCATTATCTTGATCGAATATCTAGAAAATAACTTTAAAATAATGTATTATTCACGCATTAAATAGTAAATTTTAGTAATATTTAACAGTAGGCTGATAGTATCTAGCAGATTACGTAATTAAGAAAATCTTTTATACCTTTTTATTAATTATTTATTGATGAAATGACGTTATTTCATAAGGAATTTTATAACATTGTGAGGGCGACTTCGACTAAATCTTTATAGATGATAGAACACTTTGAGATGTATATACAAGAAATCTTCGTTAGTTTAAAATTCAGGGGACTAAATATTCGTGACTTCGAATTATCCGAGATTTATATATTTCTGTACAATATGCCAAATGGCACGTAATTGATGTAATTTATTAAGCAAACGTAATACGGCTACGTTATAGAACGTTATTTTCGTTAATTAATAATAATAATATAAATTTAAATAAACTGCAAGTAAATAGCACGAACCTCATAGGTCTTCAGATAGATTTTATAAAAAGTAAAGCAGAATTCTTCGAAATGTAGCCCAAATTATTCTTAAGCTGGCCCAAAAAGTAGTAAGTCGCCCAATGTAATAGCCTAGAGCCCTACAAATATCTCAATCTGCTTGTAGCTCAATCTTGCAATCCCGAAACCCAGTAGTATTTTATGAGATAAGAGGAAAAAACGGTCCTTATGTAAGGTGATACCCGAAAATGCATTACTGTAAAAGCAAAGTCATATTGACCAGATTATAGTTGTTCTCTTACAGCATACGATCTAAACCAATGTTTCTCAACGGGGCGATATCGCCCCCATGTGGGCGTTTTTCCATGTTCAGGGGGCGATTAGTAACAATTTATATTTTGGGGGGTGAAAAAACAATTTTCTGGGCGATATAGTAAAACATTATATTAAGAATAATTAGATATTTTATTCGTTATATCGTACAATAATTAAACAGATAACATTATATAGTCACTAGTTTATTCGATGCAGTACGAATTTGGCGTTAGCCTTGTCCCTCGGCATCGGAATTTTGTAGTGAAGGGGGGCGATACTACATAACGGTTTTATTGAAGGGGGCGATACTACATTGAAGAGGGCGATACTACATTGAAGGGGGCGACGATTCGTTGAGAAACACTGATCTAAACAAACGAGTTAATGTTCTCATATCGCAGTTCGGACAGAATTTTCACTTCAAATTAGAAAGTAGAATGTATTTCGAAACAACCGAATTCCTTAAATCTTTATATCCCCGGCTGGGACGAAAATACACTTGTGAACTAATGGGATTTCGAACTGAGTTCGAATTAACGAGGATTTCGTAGTATTCAAATATTAAAATTTTTGATCCGGTGGATATCGCATTTTTTTTAAGTAATTTTCTCTAACATTATGTCTATAGCGAATTTTTTTTATTTTCGAACATTTATTTGAACCCCTTCCAACCTAGATAATAAAATGAAAATTGGCTAATAAAATAAAGACAATTAGTAGATGTTTTTGAGCTGGGTGAGAATTTTATGCCTGCAAGAAGGAAGTAGAATATTTGGAATTTTGAAAAGTTCTAGAATATTCTAGATGGTTTTGAAATTATTTTTTGTTTTGAGAATTTTTGGAAAGTTGTAGTCTAATACTTTTAATAATTTTCTTATTGATATTTTTAATATCGAGGCTCAAGAAATGTCTGATAATAAAGATCTTTGAATGAATGTTTTAATTTCATTACAACATATCAACAAAATATAGCCTATTTCTAGTGAAAATCAATTTATGTTGATTAAATTTTTTTCCTATAACTCAAAAAACTTTCATTATTTCCAAGATTGAATTCACTTTATCTATTGTAGGCGCACGCTACCGATACTAATTGTCTTTTTTTAAAACCAATTTTCATTTTATTATGTAGGTTTGAAGGTGAAATAAACGTCTCCCCTACCACTACTCTCTTCAACCATTAACATTTTTTATTTATTTATTGCCAAGTCCAGCTATAATTGATAGATTTAATGTGAGAAGTCTTCATTTTAAGGCCATTTTTTATATTAAAAAAAAAA